ATTATATTTTACACATCGGGTTATGTGATAAATAAACTTTCTCCGGGTACCAAATTTCGAGTTACATTTTATACATTGAAAGTAACGTCTTTCCGCGCAAGAACATAGCGCAAAATGCCGACGAAAAGCATAATAGCCCTCCACCAATTGTTTGCATATACTGCATTGATATTGTTTCCTCGACGTCTTCTGTCTATTTTTTCTTTCCATTCTTGATTAGCTATAGGTGAGATATTGTCTTAAAGTAGTCTTGCACCGGGAAACATATCCCGTTCCTTCTCTCGTAGCGCGTCCCGTTTTTCCCACCAAAGGAACGAACATCAAGATACCAAAAGTTGGAGAGCTTCACGAACGTTGCCCGATAACAAGGTCTTTTGGAGAGAAGGATGGGGGAGGTTTTCTTCACCTCATATCTTGTCTTAAATTTGTGCTTCAAACGAGTATATTCCTCCTTCACTTCTCCAACTTTCGCTCCGAGCTAAAAAATAATACATAAAATATTACTAAGATATTTGTGAGTATTAATGCAGAATATTTATATTTTAGTTGTATCAACAAACGATATATTGGTCGTTAAAAAACGAACATAATGAAATATAGTTATCTCTTATTCATGATATACACAATACATTGCTATTTGTTAAAACCATATAATCAAGTTATTACCGTACAATAGATAAGTGTGTAATCACTATAATATTTTGTACTTCAACTTATTTTCCCCGAAGCGAAACAGTCAGGGATACTCGGGATACTGAGCGATTGGGTTGGGTTTGTTTATCTCGCATGAGACCGATACTAGGTGTTGAGTTCAAATTACGCTGAAAATGTGTATTACTTATTGGCATTAGCAGATAGGGAGGGAGACATATAGGCATCGAAGAAACAGACGCTGAGAATTGTTTGCTTATCACAATAAATGCGGATTTTATTTATGTAACGAGTCTATTATGTACTTCTTGTGTACGAATATTTTTACCCGTGCGTTATGGGTGCGATAGAGCTGTTGAAACTCAATACTGAAAGGTAGCAGAATCTGTATTTCTGTATTCTTACCTTTTTGATGATAATCTCCGGGAAGCGTAGTCTCCTGGTTTTTCCGTCGGAGGTCCTCTTTGTTATGAAAACGAATTTAGATGCCTCATCAAATTTCACTGTAATCGAATTGGAGACTGTGTTCTTTATTTTACAAGTCGTATAATCATCCTCCTCTGTTCTGTCGGAGTCGGTATCTTCGTCGTCATCGTCATCATCGAATTCCTCATCGCACACTATCTCCACATCTTGGTCTGAAGCGTTTGATGTGTGTTCAGCATCATCATCGTCATCCGCATCTTCTTCACGGACGAATCTCTTCCTTGGTTGGATCATATCTTCAACAGATGATTCCGAATCAGTCAATATAACCGTTTCGGTGTCCTCGAGCTCGTCGTTGGGGTCCCATTTTACTCGCTTCGCTAGTTTACTGTTAGTCTGTTGTTTGCCTCGTTTACGATCCTTGTTAATGATTGGTGAGGATTTTCCTTTCTTAACTGGTGTTGTAGGTAGCGCAGACTCCGCACCTTTGTTAATGACCGGCGTGAACTTTCCCTTCTTAACTGTCATCATCACGGGTAACTGAGTCTCTTCACTCATCATGTCGTCTTCCACAGCTGTGAGGCTATCGACGGCGTATCACGAGGATCAGCGTCGAATTCGTCTCTTTGGGTGGAAATATGGGTGCATATATATACTATTCTGAAAAAATGTTATCTCGCATTAACTTAACGGTGTTTGGCTAGCTTTCCTCTTGAACTAAGAGAATGTTTTAGTTAATTAACCATTGATGTCAAACTTGGGATGATTTATAAGACTCTAGTGTAGTTACGATAGAATTGGAAATATTCATAATTGAGGTATATACATACACGATCGGTAAAATATATCAACTCTACTTCACTTAATGGACATTCCAAGTACCTTGCCCGATGTCTTGGATATGTTTGGATAATTACCCTTAACGTTAACTCGTAAAAGATGTACAAGTCTCCTGTTGTAGATACGATAGAATTGAAACTATTCATGGATTGTAGTAGATACCTCCCCCAAGGCATCCTCCATATCAGGTAGTTAAGAAGATGAGAGTGATGTTTCATACACTTAGGTTTTATTTCCATTCAAAACTCCCTCGTTGGAATATATATAATGAATGATAAGTTCGTTATAATATACATATATTTATCGATGTCCTCATAGTCTCTGTCAATTTCGGAACTATTTCCATTCGAATTCACTTCCCGATGTTAAAACCTAACACATTTCAAAACTATTAGGAAGAGTTATTCGCATATGGAGGTAGCATAATTCATTGGTGTTAGTAATAGTGTTAGCAGTAGTTCTTATTTATTTTTAAGATACCATTATGCGAACATCAACTGCACACCGGTGTTGGTAATAGTGTTAGCAGTAGTTCATATTTTATATTTCAGATAACACTAAAAAGAATGCAATAACCACTCAACTTTTAACCATCGTCATCACCATCACCACCACTACTACTACTACTACTACTACACTTAGTGATGCTGTGGTTGTTAGTGTTGTTAGTTCCACTAACGAGATCCTTGATTAGTAGAGGTGATTTTAAAAGAAAGTCTATCAATAGTTTATTCCCCTCCTTCGTGTACATAATTTACACTCCTTATGTAACGCACCGGGTTCAAGAGGGTTGTTAACGAGCGCTAGTGTAAAACTTGTGTATTACACGTTAGTCTCTCTCGACTCGGAGCCAGCACCTGGAGTCGATCATGCATTGCGAATAAACATATCAATCGTCTTTTCCACAATGGTGCGTAAGGGAGATACCGCTTTCTAACTTGACATACACACCCATGCTCTTTATAGGATCGATGATGGCTAGTGTGGTTTAAAAAACAACAAAACAAAACTCTCCTTTTGTGATATTTATTCTAGTTTATATCTAGACTACTAATACGTTCGAATTATTATTCGTACAACTTTAATTAAATGTGTAATGCGAAAGACAACTGATTTGATATTAAAGCATAGCGAGGTAACTCTGTGTCTGTGTCTGTGTGTGTGTGTGTGTGTGTGTGTGTGTGTGTGTGTGTGTGTGTGTGTGTGTGTGTGTGTGATATACGAATCTAAAGGGATAACGCGAGGAATAAGAAAAAAATACAAATTTTGATTACATTTATTTCACTCAGGTATTTAGTACCATGCTCTCTCAAAAGAGTTCACACACACACACACACACACACACACACACACACACACACACACACACACACACGTGAGCTTGTTAAAAGTCGTGAATATTCGTAACCCAGTCAGCCCTCCCCTCCTTCGTCGTGGGTATAAATCGGAGGATTGTTGTGTCCACTCCATGGCTCGTGTGATGTCTAGTATATAACTTGCGTATTAACATTCAGACACCTATGGAAATAAAATAAAAATAAAGAGTTCCTGTTTGTTACGTGGTCAAGCGGAGATGAACATCGACCCTCAATTTTAGGGTTCCCACGGTGCGAGGAATACAACTGTTTCTAATTTGATGAGATTACTATCAGTGACACATGCCAGCCTCTGGAATCTGTCACGCGCCGCGCGAAACATTAAGAGGAAGAGCAATACAGTTCGATGATGGTGTAAGGGAGACAACTCATTATATTTTATTATCAATTCATTCCCTCACACAGAATAAGTTCAGTGACTGTTCCGATATAGAAGTAATAGTTGGTTAGATTAATACACCTACTTTTTATCATATCAAACAACCTTCTTATTATCACCATTAATCCTGAGGACGCTGAGAGTATTATTTATACATTTAATCAAAGTTTATATCTGTAAATTCCTTATTCGCATCCTTCAACATAATAGAAAGATGCAACTTATGACATGTTCGAGGTTGAGTGATGGATATTCTGCGATTTTTAAAAAAAATTTTTTTTGGGGTAATGAGAGTATTGTCTTAACTGCGAATACGTCCGCTCGAACTAGTGCGATAAAAAGTAGTTCTTTATATTTCACATTCATATCAATTTCCTCGTTGTGATATTACCTGATTTTATTGTTTTAATGCGTTCATATTATTATTTTGTACAACTTTATTTAAATATTATACGAAAGATAACTGATTTGATATAACAGTATAGGGAGGGGTGTGCGGGAGGGTAGCAGCAACACAGCGCGCGTGATAATATCACTGATTAGAGTTGGACGACACTGGTCAAAGGTGGACCACAGCATTTGACCGATACTTACAATGATGCTACAGATGCCGGGAATGTTAGCGTTGCTAACTTTGGTTAGTTCGATGAATATAGGAATTCCAAGATGTTATTCGGATGATGGGGAGTTGGTGTGCTTTGGGAGGGGTAGTCGGGATGTCATCGACATCGTCCCACGCCCCGAGATCGTGCGTGTCACGGGACATGACTGGGACGAGCCATTCATTATTGATAGAAAATCGTTTCCTAATCTGAGAGTAGTGGACCTCAGCAACAGCCGGGTGGACTGCGAGAAGATCGCGCGACCAAGTTTTGTGAGAGTGTACCGAGACAGAGTTCTGTGTCCAATGATGGTAAGTAAACATTAAGCTCTCTCTCTCTCTCTCTCTCTCGTGATTATTTATGTTAATATGTTTTACAGATGATTTGATGGAAATGAAGCAGATAGGGGTAGTAGTAGTAGTAGTAGTTATTCTCTGCAAGTAAACTATTTCTACAACAGAGGAGGATGTGGATCTGTACCATGTTGTGCGCGCGTGTTCGAATCTTAAAATATTTGGGAAAAAAAAGTGATCATGTTGATTGGGAGATGATGATGTATGATAAAGTAAACTCATTTAATATGGAGTATTAATTATTAACCTTCGTCGGTCGGTCCTTTGCGTGGTTAAGGGATTAATATGTTTCACCAGTAGTAGTAGTAGTAGTAGTAGTAGTAGTAGTAGTTATTCTCTGCGAGTAATTGTGGTGCGTGTGATTGAGAGATGATATCTAGCATTTGGTGATATATAGGATGACATTTGTTGTTATTGTTTTATTTCCACTTGTTGTTTGATGTCATAGCGTGTTTGTACTGATTTCTAGTAAATTAGTCCATTAATCGTTGTTTATACATAGTTAATTGATCTATTCATTTTAGTAAATGATTCGATGGTTATGTTGTATTTCAGACGACTGATGCATCCATGATAACAACGACGACAACGTTCGTTAAGGCACTTTGTAAGTATCATCTTCTTAGATAAGAGATAATGTTCCTGCAACTGGATATTGTTTATGGAATGTTTAATAGTATGCTCTCGGGCACTACAAATGTTTATCTTCTCTCTTTCTCTCTCTCTCTCTCTACAGCATCAGATCGAACCATCCTCGGCATCATCTCCTCGACGAGTGGAACCACGATGACAACGTCTTCCTCGGACAACGAACAACGCAGTAGCACTTTGACTATCAGTAAGTAAGAAAAACGAGGATACAGATGTGTCGATAATTAGCAACACGACGAGTTCACCTTTAACGATATGAATGAAGCGTTCGTAGAATACTAACTCAATCCTTATTCTGTGATTCTGTTCTCGTCTCAGTTGTGAGGTCTTCGTCGGAGGAGAGCGGGACCACGAAGAAGGACGACGGGACCACGGGAGGAGGGAAGAAGATCATTGGTGAGTAGCTTTTCTGGAATATGTTGAGGATAGTGTTATTTTCTACTCGCTCGCTAATTGATGATTACATTCATTGTGTGCTTCATCTTAAACTTTTGTTGCTTTCAGATGAGCGCACGAAGGACAAGACTACGTCATCGAGTGTACCGAGTTACAGTGGTAGGTTCTTTATTGTATCATCTATTGTCGTGTTATAATACTAATAGTTTATGCGCAGTCGTAGTTCCTATTTTTATTTTCAGATTCCACTAAAAAGAATGCAATAACCACCCTGCTTTCGTTCGGCGATACCATCACCGATACTACTACTACTACTACTACTACTACTACTACTACTACTACTACTACTACTACTACTACTACGCATGCTGATGTTATGGCTGTTAGTGTTGTTAGTTCCCGTAACAACATCCCTGATGCTAAGACTATTACTAACAACACCGGTGTAGTTGATGTTCACACAACTACCAATGCTGGAAGTACTACTGTTAAAGACAACTCAACTATGACTCTAGCAGGAGGTATAGACATTAATAAGAGAGGTGTGATTAATATTTATAATTTTGGAATAAGTTTAGTTATTTGCTTTTCCTTATTGTTTATAAGCGGTATTTTATATTTCATGGTCCGTGGTTTGCGTAGAAAGTTACGCTACCTCCATATGCGAATAACTCTCCCCGATAGTTTTGAAATGGGTCGGCTTTTAAGATCGAGAGTGAATTCGAATGGAAATAGTTCCGAAATTGACAGAGACTATGAGGACATTGATAATTGATAAATATATGTATATTATAATGAACTTATCATTCATTATATATTTCCAGCAGGGGAGATTATCACAATTGCGTCAACGGTGTCCGTTACAATGATAGTGGTTATGGGAGGAATTGTTCTGGGTATTCTTATTCACATCAAACGACGTCGTCGACGATCTATGGAACTGGAAAATAGAGGACGAGGATTCAATCTCTTCACGGATACAAGCTCTCCTCCGCGTAACGTATTCGATGAGATCATGATTAACGAAGCGGAGGAAATAGAAATGTTCTCCCAGTAATATATTTCTGTTTTATTCTTTTTCCTCATAGATCTATTGAGAGACGGGATCCTCTGCCTATTAGGACTCTGTCTCATTAACTTGAGACAGATCATATTTAGGATCCTACTAGCGGTCCTCGACCTGAACAATGAGCGCTTCCCCCAGCAACAACCTCCCCTGGGTAATCAACCTCGCGTAGTACCACAACAAGCTCATCAGCGAGACATGAGACGACAACAACAACTGCGCGGAAGAAGAGGACGACAACGAGTTAACAGAATTGAACCAGATGGCCCCGATCCTCAACAACCTCACCAGCGTCCCGTTAGAAACAGGAGGCGCCCTGAACGTCTTACATATTTTTGACTCTTTTTTGCGCTACACCTAATCATGTAATCATCTAACATCATCCAACTTCACAGTGCTGATATTGTTGTTAGGAACCCGTGCTTGTTGTAAAAGGCGACTAAACCAGATCTAGTGGTTGGGTTCGATTTGTAACCAGATTGCCGGGTAGTGTAGCTGAAACATTGCTGAGCGCGACGTAAACTAACTACTCACACTCACCTATGTCGGATTCAACTCGACGTAAAACTAATTCATTCGTGTTTCTTTTAGTTTGTAGATTTGTATATTATTGTTCTTAGGAACCCTTACTTGTTGTAAAAGGCGACTAAACCATTCGAGTCTTCTTAGGAACCCTTACTTGTTGTAAAAGGCGACTAAACCAGATCTAGTGGTTGGGTTCGATTTGTAAGCAGATCGCCGGGGTAGTGTAGCTGAAACATTGCTGAGCGCGACGTAAACTAACTACTCACACTCACCTATGTCGGATTCAACTCGATGTAAAACTAATTCATTCGTGTTTCTTTTAGTTTGTAGATTTGTATATTATTGTTCTTAGGAACCCTTACTTGTTGTAAAAGGCGACTAAACCAAATCTAGTGGTTGGGTTCGATTTGTAAGCAGATCGCCGGGGTAGTGTAGCTGAAACATTGCTGAGCGCGACGTAAACTAACTACTCACACTCACCTATGTCGGATTCAACACTATTTCACCTTCATACATATTACAATCGTTGGAATAATAAAAAGATTTTTACTCATTTCTGATGTTACAGTGGTATATTTACAATAGTGATGCTTCAAATCATCACATATATTGCATTACAATTCAACCATTCACATCGAGCATTGTCTCTCGTTAAGTTGGGTGTATTTCCTCGATCGGCATGCTTCGCGTGGGTATTATTTACCATGCTGCTTACTCCGAATCGGATTGTTTACCCAGTGAAAACCTGTAAGGACGAAAAAACAAACAAAGTAATTCAGCGCATTATACGAGATTAACACAGTATTATTGTTCTTTACATTGTAAGACGCAACCCGCTTCACGGTATTCGAGTATAGGATTACTACCACCCTCTCACCGACGTAATCTTCTTGGACATTTGATGTTTCATTAGTAATTACTGGTAAAATAAACCCTAATGGAATCTTACTCGTTGAATAGTAGCTAAGTATTGACAACACTTTATCAAAGCGAGACTAGTTGAGAAGTTTATATGTAAAAGAGAGTGGATGAATCTATCAGCGAGAATAGTTCACACATAATCCCACCTGAGTAGTATGTCTTGTAAAAAACGCGCATGTCGTTTTTCTCATTTTCCTCTGAGGTCGGGTTTGCTGAAAATATGGAATTTGTTAATTATTTTATGATTAGTAAATGATACATACTCTATACAAATTCTTGTCATCGAATGCTGTGTAAGCTATTTACTGGATGTTGGTGGAGAGCGGTGTGTGAGTTGACTTAACCATCGTCGTGGGTGGTTATCCCATGATGACTGATGATGTTAGGATCGAGTCCTATGAGGATAGTTCACACATAATCCTACCTCGAGCAGCATGTCTTGCAAAATGCGCATGTTCGTTTTTCCTTCATTTTTCTCTGAGGTCGGGTCTGAAAATATTTAATATGATATTATTTTCAGGGTAGTAAATGATACATAACCTATATAAATTCTCGTCATTAAATGATATGTAAGGTATTTTTACTGGATGACGGCGGGGAGCAATCTGGGAAATGACTACACAACCATCGTGAGTAGTTATTTAGCAATGTTGGTGTTTGGGGTCGAGTTCAGTGTGGTTGAGAGTAATAATCTCGTAGTGAACAACTCTGTTGTTACAATCCCCGGAGTGTAGTACGCTTCTTCTGTTGATACTACATAACCGTGTTGTATTAGCCAAACCCGTAAACACTTAGTACATTTGTGGATGGAACGATGCTTAGTGATCTCGGATAAGTCCATCGAATATGGGTTGCAGTAAGTTCACTCCGTTGCGATAGTTGGGGTTCACAAGAAAGACCACACACCGATGTATGGATATGATAAAGATTGGTGATTTATAACACGCGATATACGATCTTCATTATATCCTACCTATTCGTAATATAGTAAATATAATATACAAAACTACAAACATGAATGAGTAGCTCAGAGGCACCTAAAACAAACGAATCTGGACTAGACAATCATCTAGTCGTCAATGATGAATAATTACCATTATCAACAATAAATAGAATAATTACCTTTCCAACGACTTTGTTGGGTGGATGATCCTCGATGCGCCGGAGCACTACCTTCGGGTATTTACTGTTCACTTGCATGAACAGTACATCCACTATCCTATCCACTCGCATTGTCTTTTCCTCTTTGGTGAGTAGTCTTGTCTTCTTCTTCACATTGAACATGTGATTTAAAATTTTGTTGATTTTCACAGCGGTGACGTTCGACATGATGATGTGTTTATAATCTCGACTTATATAGTGCATAATGAATATGAGATATTTACATAAGACAAGTTATTGTCAATCATCATTAATATATTAATGTTCTCCTGAAAGAGAATGGACGTTTTGGTAGTTTGCGATTTCGAGTCCATTGTTATTGTATGTGATATTAGCATTTTTCCGTGACCCCCAAACTTCGTGGATTAAGTACATTAGTGTTACTGTGGTATTAGGTTTCTGGGTCATAGATGTTCTAGATGAGGTGACTAGTCTTCAGGTATAGTGATTCTTATCGAACACGTGTGATATATGTTTACCTTTGGGTGTATGTTTATCTGGTTCGTGTATACCCTTAGAGATTACGAGGAGGGATAGCAGTTCAGGGCTGCGGAGCAGGGTATTGGTTTAACATAGGGCGCTTTTCCGGGAAACAGACCACACTATACTACTGACTGAAATACTACCGACTTGACTTGAACCAAACTCACTCACTCCCGTGTAGATGCTATTTAACTGGAGGCACCCGTGAAGAGCCACCTCCTCGTGGTGGGTGCTGGGTAACGCTAAGAGCTCTTCAACCCCCCGTTGTGGACCCGGGGTTATATTTGGTCCACCAAAGCGTTTGCCGTGGGTTGCGCCCCTGTGTCGGTGGAGGACGGGAGTCTGGTGGTTGAGGGCACTGGTTCCAGGAACAGTGTTCCTTTGCCCAACACACCACATCGCCCCTTACTTGAATGGGCCCGGTTCAACCAATCGGCTGGTCATGCCGAGCCCTGAGCACTAAATTTCATTGCTCTATCATTTTTGGCTTGGTTCTATTTGGACACATTATTTAAATGTTTTATTTTGTGTATAAACTATTACATGGATTTTCAAATTTGAGAAAATTTGCCTAGATGCCGGTACCAGAAGGCGATGGCTCATGGGCCAAACTGGTAGGACTTACTACTGGTGTATATCATCCCTATATCCCTGGTATCTGTCTGTTGGACATCCACAGGCAATAGGATACTGCCTTTATTGGCACTCGGTGGCGGGTGGGGAGTAGGGATTATGAACCTTAATCACACAACCATGGCTTCTCAAACCCCCCATCAAAAAATCAAAACGTACTCTAGAAGTTGATTCTGAACAAACCCAGTGGAGTATTGGCCACGATTCCTGGTGATGGAAACACCTGATAAGACACCAATCAAATTGAACCCTTTTGCGGTTGCAAAGGGTATTTATGGAATTGCAGGTGATGTTAAAACTATCAAACGTTTGAGGACTGGTTCCATCCTAACTGAATGTGCCAGGCGACAGCAAGCCACAAACCTAATGTCAGTAGAGGAACTTGTTGGAATTTCTTTGTCAGTATCTTCTCACAGATCCTTGAACACCAGCAAAGGCATCATAAGAGATCGTGATCGACTCTTTGATGACATGTCAGAGTTGGATATAGTTTCAGAAATGCATGATCAAGGGGTTACATTTGTGAAAAGATTTACCAGGCGACAAGGCACGGAAACGTTCAAAACAAACACATACTTATTTTCCTTTTCATCTCCAATTGCACCAAAATCAGTTAAAGCAGGGTATGGCAACATGCATGTTGAAATGTACATACCTAACCCATTGAGATGCTTTAAATGTCAGAAGTTTGATCATGAATCTAATTCCTGCAAAAACAAAATCACGTGTGCACACTGTAGCCCAACTTCCCATGTTACAGAAGATTGTAACAGTGTTGTTAAATAGTGCCAGAATTGTTCTGGAGCACACTCACCATCGAGTAAAGCCTGCCCAGTATGGACAAAAACGAAATGGAAATAAGTAAAATAAAATGTACAAAGAATATTTCTTACACTGAGGCAAAGAAACTGGTATCTACTACAGACCAGACTGAAACGTATGCTTCTGTTACCAAAACTCCAACAGTTTCCTCAGCAATAGTTTAGTGTCAAACAGATTTGACTGGATAACTTCTATTAATCCTGAAGCCCACTGTCCATCTGATTCTTTTACTCAGACTGCGGATCCCTTCCCAGCTGAACAGATTTCTTCACAAACCACCTCTGTGACACCACCTCAAAGATCAGGATCACAAAATGACTCATCAAAATAAAAAAAGGAATGGTTTAGCAAGGCAAACAATTGACTCATTGTCTCGCAACAAACAGCTTGAAAGGATATCTAAAGGATCAAATGATCCTACAAAACTTCACTACAAGTTTGGATCACTGGATGAGATGGACAGAAAGCATCCATCGCAGGACAACAAGTTTATCGCCTTAAAGAAATGGGCGAGCCAGATCTCCAGTCAATCCGCCAAAGAGATGAATAGTTCTCAACCTTTGATTCAGTGGAATTGTAGAGGATTTAAAACAAATTTTAATGATTTACAATTTCTGGTACAATACTACAAACCATCAGCTTTCTGTCTGCAGGAAACATATTTAAAGCAGACAGACACAATTAAATGACGTTACAACTATTATCTTTGTTCTTCTCCTCCTGGTGATAGAGCCACTGGAGGTTCTTCTATCTTGGTGAGGGAGGGAGTGATCCACAGCCCTGTCAAACTGAACAATAATCTTCAGGCTGTTACCATCCGAATTATATTAAAATATGGTGTTTACATTGTGTTCTTGTATGTTTCGCCTTCTTTTGTTCTTCAGCAGTCTGACCTTCAGTCATTATATGATCAATTACCTAAACCATGTGTCATCATGGGTGATCTGAATGGCCACAATCCGCTCTGGGGTGGTCTACACACAAACTCTAAGGGCAAGGTCCTAGAGGATTTTATTACCAATAATGATTTATGTATTTCTAATGATGGTTCACATACATATTTACACCCTGCAACAGGCACATACTCCTCACTTGATTTGTCACTGACAGATTCAGAACTGCTCTATGAATTCGAATGGTCAGTTCATCATGCTCTTTGTGGAAGTGACCATTTTCCAAACTTTACTTTCACTCGTTCATCCAGCTGATACTCAACCTTCATCAAGATATAATTTTACAACAGCAAATAAGTCTTTATTTGAGACATTATGTCAATGGACAATTACGCCTGAATTAATTTTTAATGCTTCCGACCCCATTCAGATCTTTTCAGAAGAATTACTGACAAATGCAAATGAAACTATTCCTAAATCCTCCTCAAATCCACATATACGAAAACCATGGTATACTGACGACTGTAAACAAGCTAGAAAAGCTAGGAGGAAGGCAGAAAGTATTTTCGCAATCACCCCACTGTCCACAACTTAAACAATTTCAAGATATCATATGCTAAAGCCCGAGGCACCTTCAAGCAATCTAAACTCCAATCTTGGCACAAATATGTATCTAAAATCAATTCCAAAACTCCAATGTCTAAAATTTGGAATGTGATACAGAAAATTAAAGGTAAAGGTTCCGGATCTCGTGCTCACCATCTAAAGGAGGGTAACACATTACTAACAGATACAGCAGATATCGCAAACAAACTTGGGGAATCTTTAGCCAAACATTCTTCCTCATCAATTACAACCAAAATTTCAGAAATTTAAAGTCCAGGAAGAATGAAAGAAACTTAAGTTTAATTCTGATAACGGTGAGGACTATAATGAACTTTTCTCCTTACATGAATTACACACTGCTTTATGATAAGCACACGATACAGCAACAGGGGGTGATAATATTCATTATCAACTGTTAAAACATTTGCCTGATACTTGTCTTGAAGTACTATTATGTATCTTTGACAATATATGCACTACTGGGAATTTCCCTTCTTCATGGCGGAATGCTGTCGTCATTTCTATACCTAAACCCGGCCGGGATCATACAGATCCTTCTAATTATAGGCCAATATCTCTTACCAGCTGTTTATGTAAAACCATGGGGAGAATGGTCAATAACCGACTGACATGGCACCTGGAAACAAATAATCTTATAACAAATATTCAGTGTGGTTTTAGAACAAATCGAAGTACCATAGACCATTTAGTTAGATTGGAAACGTTCGTAAAGGATGCTATCATCGAGAAACAACATGCTGTATCAATATTTTTCGATTTAAAGAAAGCGTATGATACGACCTGGAAGTATGGAAGTTTAAAAGATCTTCATGAAATGGGATTGATAGGCCGTTTGTCTCAATTCATATCTCAGTTTTTAACAGATCAGTAGTTCCAGGTACGTGTGGGTTCCACCATGTCTGATATGTATGATCAAGACCAAGGTGTACCACAAGGTAGCATATTTATCTGTAACGTTATTCAGTATAAAAATAAACAGCTTATCTAAAGTTTTAAATGAATCCATTGATGGTTCATTATTTGTAGATGATATCAATGTGTCCTGTCGAGGTAAAATATGCACACGATTGAGAGACAATTGCAGTTATGCCTCAATAAAATTAATGACTGGTCAGAACGAAATGGTTTTAAGTATTCAAAAACTAAAACTAATTGCATTCATTTCTGTCGGAAATATAAGCCGCACAGAGACCCAGAATTGCATCTAGCAGGCACTCCAATTAAAATTGTAAAGGAAGCTAAATTTCTGGGAATAATATTTGACCAACATCTTCCTTTCTTACCACATATTAAATCTCTGAGAGCTAAATGTATGAAGGCACTTGATTTATTAAAGGTTGTTTCAAACTCCAAGTGGGGAGGGGACCAGTCAACCCTTCTTCACTTATACAGATCACTCGTCCGTTCTAAACTCGATTATGGTTCCATCTTTTATGGTGGAGCCTGCAAGAGCAATCTTAAAGTATTAGATTCTGTTCATCACCAAGGTCTCAGACTTTGTGTTGGATCTTTCCGAACTTCTCCTATTGACAGTCTTTCTGTAGAGGCTGATGAGCCATCTCTCAAACAACGCCGTATAAAATTATCGTTACTATATATCACTAAACTATATTCTAGTGAGTCTAACCCTGTATACAACTTTGTTTTTAATCCTCTTTATGATCATCTGTACAAGAAACAGTCTTCTCTTGTTCCGCCTCTTGGGCACAGAATTAAACCATTCATTTCTGCTGGCGGCATTGAGCTGCAAAACATATCTCCTTCGCGTCTTCTTTCTTCTCCCCCTTGGCAACTGGGGAGGCCTTAAGTTGACCTAACTCTGACAAATATTAAGAAATCAGAAATTAATGAATTACAATATAAACAGGAATATAATGGATAGTGGCGCAGTGGCTTGTGCCAATGTTATTGGATCAAAAATAATATCTTCTAGATTACCTGATAAAAGCTATATTTTCACAGCGGAAGCTAATGCCATACTCACAGCTCTTAAATATATTGATTAAAAAACCTAAACATAAACAATACATAATGTTTTCAGATTCTCAGGCTATTAAAAGATTGTCTTCTCAACACCCACTTTTAATTGAAATCATTGAATTATATAATGATCTTGCTACTGGCCAATGCGACATCGTCTTTTGTTGGTTACCCAGCCATGTGGGAATTACTGGTAACACAATGGCCAATTTTGCTGCTAAGGCAGCACTCAACAAATCCGTGACACCACTTCTTATCCCATACTCTGATTATAAAGCCGTGATAAGATCAAATATCTGAGATCTATTGCAAAAGAAGTGGGACATCCAAGTAGGTATCAATAAATTATACGAAATTAAACCAGCTATCGGTTACACCAACTTGGGTTGTCAGTCCAGGTTTGAGGAGGTCATCATGCGACGATGTCGGATTGGTCATACAAGATATACACATGAATATTGATTGAAAGGTGAAAATCCTCCATTCTGTATCCCTTGTGATGAGAGAACCAAGGTCAAGCATGTCCTGCTTGACTGCATTGATTTTTCCATCACCAGGGATAAATGTTTCAATGTTATAACACTGAAGGCCCTTTTTTACTGTAAATTATCATTTAATACTTGTTTTTTTAAAAGAAATAGAATTATTGCATAAATTTTGAATATGTTTTATATTGTATTGTCTTCTTTAAGTAAAATCTTTTAGTTTGACATGCTAGTTTTATGTTCATATATGTGATATTCTGGTATTTTTACTGTCCATCGTCGACGGGTTCTACTCTCCAACATGTTTTTATTTTTATATTGTATAAATTGTTTCCGTCACGATATGGCTGAGATATTGCCGATGTTAAGTTAAATATTAACTCACTTACTCACTCACTCCACCCTCCTTATTTCCAGAACGCTTTTATGCTGATATCACACTGCCAATACAAACATCTCTGTCTTTCCTTTTGTATCAGACTTGAATAGTTAATGTCTCTACAAAATGGACATATACCTATAGTTAGCCCTGCCCGTAGCCAGCTAATCTGTTCCAATAATGAGCAAACAAGTGAGAGCGGTTACAACGTCAAAACGGAATTGAATATAGACATAATAAGATAATCTGTGTATTTGTACATCCAAATGATGCAATTTGCCGTTGATTAGTTCACTCACTCACTCTCGTGATTAGCAAAAGAGACTTCACTAAAACAGAGATTTCTAGTAATGAGGACGTGAACAGTAACGTAGCCTGCCTCACCCATAGATAAAACACTCCATTATTAACTCAGTGACTCCAGGGCACTTCAACAGCTGTGAGTTGCCAAACACCCAAACCTATAATGATGCGACGCGTGCCTGAACTTCAGTGAATAGGTGTACACACTTGAACACTGAATAGCGCTTTATTGTTCAGACAGATGGAATTGTGCGGTGTTTATTTATTCTCGAATACTGTCCGTTAATACACTGGATACCCCAATATTCACATTTTCGTCCCCCACCGTGATATTGCTGGAATACTGGAAAAGGAGACCTCCCGCGACACCCCCCACCCCCACACCCCATCATCATCTTCCATGGCCTCCTATTCACGGTCCTCGAGGACCAAGCTCTCTGTAACCAGGGAATTCTACGAGGGCACAAGAGAGTAAGCCACCGAAAGTGACCAGGGGTCGAGAAGGGCCATGGCGCCCGAATCGACCGACCCGCGGCGCCGAGACCCGAGGAAGAACCTGTGGGAACAGGATTACCGGGGTCCCATAAAAAAACAAGGACATCGATGCCCCCGGAACCGGTGCATGCAAATGTCCCAGAACCGTGACGGTCCTGAACCCGTATGACTAGTGCCGGCAAGAGTGAGTGCGTGAGTTATTATTTAACGTCACATCGGCAATATTTCAGCCATATCGTGACGAGAACACTTGACATTGAAATAGCATATATATAGATAGTACAAAAACTTGCCGACAAAGGACAGTAAAGCAACTAGAGTATCACAGATATATATGTAAAACTAGTTATTGAATCTAAAACATTTTAACTATGGGGGACAACACAATATAAAAATAGGCTATAGATCACCAACAACTGAAGGTAGATCACCATACTAGGAACCATGGGGACTTACATTACTTTTGCTACCTGCATGGACCAGTGCCGGCAAGATGCACTGTACCGGGCCGGAGACCGCATTACAAGTGATGCAGTGTTTGAACTGCAAAACAACTGAACGTAGTGGCTGGTAAGTGCAAATATAACACACAAGTATTATGCAAAAAAACACAGACACACGGGCGATATTAGAATGCTAAACATAGTCAATAATCAGCAAGCTATCGCATTAAACAGGAAAATATGTGAAGTAAAGAACAAATGCTACACTCGAAGTATACATAGTACACGTGTGCAAATACTAAATGAATAATGGCTGAACGTAGCGCGGGTGCCAGTACCCATTGGAGAAACATGACTACCGATATGTCACTAAAATTAGAATAAGACATTCATAAAATATGTTGGTAACGAACTACCATACTAAACCCACCAAGAAGTGGAAGCCCTAAACCAGCTAACAAAAAATGGTAAAGGGAAGGAAAGCCACTAAGTCCGCCATTTTGCAAGACACATGGCTTAAAAACGAGCGTGAGTGAGTGAGTTTAGTTTTACGTCGCACTCAGCAGTATTCCATCTGTATGGCAGCCGTCTGTAAATAGTCGTGTCTGGACCAGACAATCCAGTGATCAACAGCATGAACATCGATCTACGCAGTTGGGAACCGATAACATGTGTCAGCCAAGTCTGACCACCCGATCGAGTTAGTCGCTTGAAAACGGCCGACCAGTCGGCAAATTACAACAAATTATGAATGAAAAAAGAATTAGTACAGTTCTACCTATCGACCGTGCGATAAAGAAAGGTGCTATACATACAGTATTTGCGTCTTTTTCCTTTCAAAGTCGAAGAATTCCTAAGTTCAAATGAACAACTCACACAGACGTCCTTCTCAGTGAACGAAAGCATGAACAGTGAGGTACAAGGTTGACGGTTAGAATTACCTCCTCCTGGCTGTTGGGGCCCACATGGGCCCTGTAGGGGTTGCCGAACAAGACAAAAACGAGTTTTTTGTTTTGTAAATATTTTATTGAATAATATAGTTACAACTGTCATAGGATTTTAAAACCGACATTTGTATGCTTATAAGTACCCAAAGGAGGATCTATTTTGAAAAATAAATACATCAAATATAGGCAACTATCGGTTACACCTACTTGGGCTGTCAGTCTAGATGTGAAGAGGTTGTTATGCGACGATGTGGTATTGGCCATACAACATATACTCACGAATATATATTCAAAGGTGAGGATCCTCCGTTTTGTATCCCTTGTGATGAGAGAATCACAGTCAAGCATGACTGTGTTGAATTTTCCATCACAGGGGATAACGATCTTTTTACTGGAGTTAATTTTCATTTAATTATTGTATAACTGTATACACTGAGGTTTTCTTTGGTATCAAATGGACTGTACCACATTCTTCTGTTTTGTCCAGTTGCAACAGGTAGCACAGAAGGTTGTCAGCATCGTGGCCAAAGCGGCTGCAAGATGGTTTGTGTGTGCAATTTATCATTGCACATACTGACACCGACAGAGACATATATTCCTGATGCTTGCATTTCTAAGATCTCAGTAAGTATGCCAGGGGTTGATTGTGAAACAATGAAGACGTCCGTAATGTCTGGTCTTCTACCTTCGGTCTTGCAGTTTATATCCAAGGATGGTGTTGACCTGTAGTTTATCGTCACACCCGTTATCTTTTTAATTTTGTCCCATATCTTGAAAATATCAATCACATAGTTTACGTGAATAACATATTTTGTGACTAACCTTCAACCTTTATGAATATGCAACTAATCAGGTGCAAATGGTGTATTGCATTATTAAGAAATGAACGAACGACCTTCGAGTTAATGTTATTTGTTCAGGACCATCGCTACAACTATGTTATAGAGACTACATTGATCGTTACTTGTAGGCTCCACACGAGGTATTGGCGAGGTTGTTGTATTGTAGTTTTATGAAGATAACTAACGACTTTCGATTTTGTGAATTATCCATATGAGCGTTAATGTTAATTGTTCGTGACCATCACTACGGGATTTGTCATAGAGACTCATATTGTACGACAGGAATACTCTTTATAAAATTTGGACCGTAACTTGCAGCATTTTGGGTGTTTTTTAGAAGTTGCTGGCGGGAGTTAATACTATTATTAACCATTAACCGGGACTCTAGTTACAGACATACAGAAATATTTATGTATCCACAATTTACATAGCTAACATAAAAGACGTTTAACCTTTTGTCCACATTAATATTGCATAAACTGATACAACTGATATGAAAGCTAAAAGGTCTAATATGCATTATGTACAGTGTAAAGGGCTGTGTCGATAGCCAATATGATAACATATATAAACTGACCGGCAAAATAAAGTATACCAAAAGTTACCATTTCTGATATATATTTGTAGGTAAATTATACACTGAAACGTCGCCCCAACGTAGCAATTTGATTCCTGCAGTGAAATTCACGAATAAAACGTCGAAGTGGTCAATTGTATAAACCATGATTTGGGGCCTCTGTCAGAGTTCCACATGCTCTAAGGGTATAAAAGATAGTGTGCGGACAGGTTACACATGTAGTTTGAAAACGACCACCACAGGTATGCCACGACTCTCAGCAGTTGAATGTGAGAGGGCCATAGGTATGCTCCAATTGGGGTCGACACACGGCAACGTTGCAAGAACCTTCGGCTGCACATGTGACGCCGTCTCTAGACTGCTGCAACGTTACAGGCAGACGGGACAGAGACACAGAACAGACCAAGAAGTGGGAGACCGCGAGTAATAACACCGGCTGAAGACCGGCATTTGAAGACGTTACACCTGACGGTAACGTCATCAGCGTCGAATTCCCTTGATGACAGTGTCAGTCGATATACGGTGACTAGACGTCTTCGTACAGCAGGTATCGGAGCCTACTGACCCTTGAAAGGACAGGTGTTGACCCCTGACCCCAGACGTCACATATTGCGTTGGGCCCGAGTTGTTCGCCGTTGACAGCGATGAGAGGAACAACGTGAACGTTCTACAGTGGACAGCATGCTCTCCAGACATGTCGCCGATCGAGCACATATGGGATGCACTGATAGACGCGTGCGGAAACACCCTAACTCACCACAGAATAGACAGCAACTTGCACAAGCCTTCCATGACGAATGGCGTCGCATACCACGTGACCTTGTCCGAGGTCTGACGTCTTCGGCTAGAAGGTGGCTGCGTGCCTGTATTGACGCAAGATACTAAAGCGATGGTAGTGAACATTTATTGTGTGTAACTCAGTACCTCCTTATCCTCTATGTGTTTGAAAACTGGTGTTCAGGACCCCCAGTGAACTTGCGCATGTCTGACGCCACGTGTTTCTGTAGTATGCGTGTGATTTTTAGGTCAGGTTGAGTAAAGATGTTGTTAACACCACTGTATTGTATCTTTGTGTGTCTTGGTAGTCTGATAATGATAATTACCTCGTCTTGTATACTCTGAAATACACAATGCCATTTAGAAAGTGGTCAAATGTAACATATGTTATGTTTGGGATTACACTTTCTTAGTAAAGTACAGATTCTAGTACTTTTGTTGGGTTGAGTCCCCTCAGGGATTCGAACCCACACCCACAGAGTCAGGCGCCTAATCACCAGCACACAAAGTCAGACGCCGAGACCGCTTAGCGGAAGCCGTGGAACTGGAAGCCGCGGTGGCTAAGCGGTCTAGGCGTCTGACTTTGTGTGCTGGCGATTATGTGCCTGACTCTGAGGGTGTGGTGTGGGTTCAAATCCCGGAGGGGACTTAACCCAACAAAAGTAGTAGAATATGTACTTTAATAAGAAAGTGTAATACCAATTATATGTTACTTGTATACTTTCTTTTGCCGGTCAGTTTATATTGTAAAAATCTGTTTTGATGAGTAGGTGTATGATGATAAGGACTTGATTGGGAACACATTGCTACCGGCGGTTAACCCTCCGCATACTACAGCATTGTGATACCTCGGCCAAGGAAATATAACACATGAAAATATATACATGTCACGTGACTGAGAATAGTTCAGACACAACAATTAACTTATACAATAAACTAAATTACAAGGGAAGGTTTACTTACTTACTTGTGATTAATATAAATATACATCATCCAATGACACTTGTACCTTGTACAACAGTGTTTCAGCTGTTGACATATTACCTGTAGATTCAGTAAGGGCAGTGTCATATGTAGACTTGCTATATTTAGACAAATGTAGAGGGTTCTACCGTGTTTTGACCCACGGAATAGTGTAGAACGATCGGGAAATAGCTATTCAGGAATCATTTGCCTGAGAGTGAAAGATACCGGAAGTGCGTGTCCACCAGCTTGATGAATGTTTACAGGAAATCGATTCACCGTTTGAGCTCGTCTTGAATTTCCTAGAGTTTGGTTTTGGATTGATCGTTTAAATTGACCGATCCTGTAATGTTGTCATTGACCGAAGACCCAGAAATTGGTCGATTGTCAACGTTTTGGCTTTTTGGCTGTTCTATGATCGTAAAGAAATCCGTTACTTGTACCTTCGTGTACTTCAGGACATATCCGCCACTTTTGCCTGGTTTGCGTCCCTCAGTGAATCATAACCAATGAATGAAACAAAGAAATCACTACTGTACAATAATGGATTACTTTCTACAGACATATACGTTCATGCATAGGATGTGTGTCGACAACTGGTGGTTTTAATCATACTTGTTAATAACATTGCAAGTAATTATCCCGAATTTTATAAAGAGTATCAATGTCGTCTCTATAACACACGTCATGGCGATGATCCTGAACAAGTAGCACTCGCTTTCATATAAAAAATTCACCAAATCGAAGGTCGTTCGTTAATTTCTTAAAACTACAATACACTAATTGCACCTGATTATTTTTCATGTTCATAAAGGTTAACGGTTAATCACTGAATGTGATATTAATATAAACTATAGGATTGATATTTTCAAGATAAGGGAAAAATTAAAAAGATAAAGGGTGAGACGATAAACTACAGGTCAACACGATCATTGTATATAAACTGCAAGATCAAAGGTAGTAGACCAGACAATACGGACGTCTTCAATGTTTAAGGCTCTGGTAGATTATAAAAACAACATATCACTTATGAGAGGGACCATGTACCTTGTCATGTTGCATCTGTCGTGTTGTTTCACGGCCACTGTTGGACACAATCAACCCCCTGACATACTTACTGAAATATTAGAAATGCAGGCTGTAGGAATGTATGCCTCTGTGGGTGTCAATATGTGCAATCACAAATGCACACACAGACCATCTTGCAGGAGCTTTGGCTATGATTCTGACAACCTTCTGTGCTACTTGTTGCCACTGGACAAAACAGAAGAATGTGCAAGATTTGTTTACGTACCAAAGGGAAACGCTGAGGCAAGATGTGTATTTTATTTTATTTGTTTGAAAATCTACTTGCCTGAAACTCATTTGTCACTGGAGTGACATCCAATGCTGCAAGGCGTTTACCTGTGTTGGATGATGCATTCTGGGTGCAAGAATGCAACAGGGTATTTTAATGTGCATATTCGGTTCACATGTCTTCAGGATCCGTTTATTATGTTAGGGTTGATATTTCATAATGTTAAGAAGCCTGTAAGTAAATTGACGGAAAGGAAACTCCTCTGGAATGGAACATTTCGTATATCTCTTGAGGGGATCATTTTATATTTCTCTAGAGTGGGTCATACCCTATAGCTCTAGAGTGGGTCATATCCTATACCTCTTGAATGGATCATATCCTATACTTCTTGAGTGAATCATATCTTATGTGTCTTGAGCGGATCATAGTGAATATCACTTGCGTGGATCATATCGTGTATATCATGCAGTTCAACATATCCGGAGGTGAGGTGAGGTGAAATTGGATTTAACGTCGTGCTTGAGAATATTTCGCTCATATAACGACGTGTTTGCTTGTGTATGTGGATGTGAGGCTGCTTGTACTAGCCCAGACTTAAGCTGGTTTTATAGTGCTAGCCCACTGAGATACCATGCCGCAGTGAGGCATGAATACCCCATTCAGACACATTACACTGACTCCGAGCCGACCCATTAATGCAGAGCGCCAGGCAGGGACCAATAAGTACCATATGTGAACGTATTTTGCTTTGACGCGGTCGGGAATCGAACCTGCGACCTTCCGCTCTCCGGGCGGACGCTATAACCAGCAACACATCAGGAACCATAATTTAGAAGTTGTTTGGGTTATAGATATTTAGTTTGTTCTTCATAACCTGGTAGTCATACCAATAACAGTGTCCCTGTATAGATGATTTTGTGTTACGGCATATTTGGGAATAGGACATTCCCACTTAACCCATGCTTTCCTTCAACAAGGTGAGAATGTCCATATCTGCATTCATTGCCAACGTCAACTCAGCGTACATGTAAAACACATTCCTTTAGTGCTGATACATTTTAATGTTTCTATAATGAAAGCAGATTTTACCCAAGTCCATACGATTATAGCATTTTAAAAAGAAATACAACTTTGTGGCAAGATATAGGTTTTAATTCCAATTCTGATTTTTTTCTCCAATTTTCTGCGATATGTGACACCCTTTCGCAATCTCTTAGTTGGAGTTTTTATTAAGTCATTCTAGCCGCTAGTAGCTGTAATATTGCGTATGCTGATGAATACATATTCATTCATCCATGTATTCATTTATAACCAGATATATTATGGAGTTTAGAAGTAAATCGTTTGCCTCAATGTACATGGGGACATTTGGAAACAAAGTGTGTACATGTTTCTATTGGAGAAACTGCATAGTAATGTCTAAATACTTTTGTCACGCTTTTGCATTCCTTTATCAGAGAGAAGAACATCTCAAACCAAATGTAGCATTTGACACATACATTTCTTTTGCTCAACCTAGAGTTACTCCCCGAATACCTTTGTCTGCAGGTTCAAGCTGAATCCTGTTCACAAAAGACCTGCCAAGGTGTGAGATGTCTCAAGACCTTCACTGGAAACGTTGTATGTGTGCCAGGTAAATTCCGCAATGTGCAATACTCAATATTGTATGTATTTTGACACTATTGAGAATACAAGTAGCTGATATTCATCATACAAAGATGTTTTACTGAATAAAGAAGAATAAATCAACTTGCCAATGAATACGATTACCGTATCGATTAACGACCTAAAATTATTCCAATGGCCAAAACAACAGTCAGTGAAGCAGTATACACCAACCCGGGATTGTGGCTTGATGACGAATGAGTTAACTACTGTGGTAATAGATTATGTCGCTCAGTTTAGGTTGAATTAATGTGTGTTCCACAGTATTCAAAGGCTAGAGAATAATCAACCGTTCTTCAATTTTCAATATTAGGAGTGTCGACTTCCAATGACAAAATGCATGTAAAAAGTGAATAAATTATGTGTGCAAGTGCCATCAAATTTTGCAGCATGTTTATTTAGTAAAATAACTTTATGCAATTGTATGTTATGAACAGTTACATTTTTCGTTAGTATATGTAAACACAAATTTCACCAACAATAGTTTATATATCCAGTGTCATAGTGTAAAGAATGCATCAAGATGGCTGTTTCCATGTGGAAGTTACTTAAAGCGACAGTAACTCTAGAAAAGCTTTTTTGGCTTGTTTACAATAGCATACCATTGGAAACACATCAATAAGTAGATCTACACGATGATACAATTTCACAACATTGGTCATTCAAAAACTGAAAGCATGAACATGCAGATCTCACTTCATCCTTTCCATGGCATGCAGTGAACGGAACTGTTTGAAGCACACTGAGGAACTTAACAAGCCAAAGCTGAATTAGATGTGAGCACTGACAAATACTTTTCTCATATTATTGTGTTTTACAGAAAAAGAAAATAAACAACCATCAATGACCCAACCTAACACCAACTTTATGAGAGCCTGTATGGATGGAGTCCAGTGCGGAGTTAAACTACTCTTGTCTGGGGGCCAGGCAGACATCAACACCAGGGACATACTCAGGAGGACACCGGTGATGTTTGCAGCAATGAGAGCGTATAAAGATATGTTTCATTTACTTGTGAGGGAAGGCGCAGATCTGTCCTCAGTGGATCAAGACCAAAACACGATTTTACATACGGCCTGTGAGGGAGGAAACCTCAACATTGTGAAGTACATCCTCAACGAGAATATTGTGGACGTCGACAGTAGAAACTTTGATAACATGACGCCAATAATGAAATCAGCTCTGAATGGGCATGCAGACGTTTTTGATGGACTTGTGGAGAAAGGAGCTGACCTCTTACTTGTGGATCATTATCATAGCACTATCCTACACTTCGCCTCTTTGGGGGGAAGTGTTGACATAGTTGATCGTATCCTTAGAGTCGATCGTGTGAACATAAATAGCACAGACAACCAGCACAGGACGCCGGTGATGATTGCAGCCAGCAAGGGACATAAAGACGTCTTTGACCTACTTGTAAGCAAAGGAGCCGATCTGACCCTGAATGACGACAATGACACTATTCTGTACGCGGCCTGTCAAGGCGGCAATATTGAAATAGTTAAGTATGTTCTTGGTCAAGACGTTTCATATATAAACACCAGGGGGTCTGAAGGGTTCACACCAGTGCTACTGGCTGCATTTAATGGATACTGGGAAGTGTTCCATTTTCTTCTTTTGAAGGAAGCCAGTCTTTCTGTAAGGCCTGATAGCGGTGAAAATATCTTACATGTGGCTTGTATTGGAGGGAATTTGAAAATAGTAAAGTATGTTCTCAAACAGAACACTGAGGATATCAACAGTAGGGGAACGGAAGGAATGACACCGGCAATGCGTGCCGCATGTTGCGGACACAAAGATGTTTTCGACCTTCTTGTGAAGAAAGGAGCTGATCTGTCACTGGTGGACAGTAATGAGAACAACATTCTCCACATGGCATGTGCAGGGGGTAATAAAGAACTCATTAAATATGTCATCGCAAAGGACATTGTGGACATCAACAGTCGGTCAAAGCAAGGGACAACACCAGTAATAGGAGCTGCTTTAATTGGATACAAAGAATTGTTACATCTGCTAAGCATTAACGGAGCCGATATGGCCACAACGGATGAAACTGGTTCTAGCATTCTACATTTGGCGCTTTTGCAACATGAAGGTGAGACTGCAAGATATATCATTACTCAGGACTTTGTCAACATCAACGACACAAATTACCAAGGAATGACGCCAGTCTTACTTGCTGTAGTGAACGGATATGCAGATGTCTTTGCTTTACTAGTGAGAAAAGGAGCTAGTCTGTCAAGTGTAGATGCCTCTGGTGATAACATTCTTCAGAATGCTTGTGATGGAGGAAATGCGGACATAGTGAAGTATCTTTTGACGGTTAAGGACATTGTGCATGATATTAACCGAAAAGGAAAAGCTGGCTTGACACCAGTGATGGTTGCAGCACGTTCAGGAAACAAAGGAGTGTTCGACCTCCTCGTGAAGAACGGTGCCGAATTGACACAAGTGGATGATGACGGCAACACTATCCTTCATTTGGCCTGTACCGCCAACGTCCAGATAGTGAAATACCTCCTGTCCCATAACACTGTGGACATCAACACGAGGGGGGCATATGGTAGGACGCCACTTCTGACGACAGCACGTAGTGGGAATAGACTTGCATTTGATGAACTTTTGAAGAAAGGAGCTGATACGTCAATGAAAGATAATGAAGACAACAACATCCTTCATTTGGCAACTGAGCAAGGGTATGTTGTTATTGTAAGATATATCCTTTCACAAGCGATTGTAGATTTGAGTGCCAAAAACAAACATGGATCAAAGGCAGCTGAATTAGCAAACGTAAACCTGTATCCTGCACTTAAAGGTGTTTTTGAGAGGTATTGAAAAATCACCAATACTTTGCTCTCTGGTAGCCTTAGATGAGTTTGTGAAAATTCCACAATTGTAAACAAACTGGTCAAAATATCTTGACTTTGAGTGTCCTTGTATGGAACATAGGGCACATCCGCCAATGTCTTTACTCAACATTCATCATAATATTTGTCTTAAGCTATGACAACGTGCGACAGTTGAATTAACTTCCCATGAGTTACAATGAACGGTTGCAAAATGCAGCCGCCAGAAATTTTAACCCACTCTCGCAAGACTCACCACATCACTTTTATGTTATACCACCTATATATTGGCATCATGTGAACACAGGTAAACCTTCAAGCTTCTCTGATACGGCTTTACGGGTTACGGGACAAACACCATCTCATCCTTTCGACCTCCATCATGAACTTTCTACTCACAACATGTATGTTTAAACCTATTTCCACACAAATGATCTCTTACTTGAGCATCAATCTGCATATATATGTAAAGCAGTTTTAATAAAGAAGTTGACAATCCATAACATTTGTTCCTTTTCATCCTACCAGCTTATGGCCACTGGTAGTATCCACATGTGCGGACGTCAGAAAACCACAACATCCAAACGCAATCTCGTTTTCCTGTTACCACAATCGTGTTTTCCTGATTCTACGATCTCTACGAACTCGTTTTACTGTTGCTGTGATCCTGTTTTTCTGTTGCTAGGATCTTCAGTACCAACGAGATGCGTCACGTCGTAATGTCACGACACCACGTAACAGTTTACATCCAGATCATCCCTTTATATTGCTATCTAGTCGTAAAAATCCGGGTCAAAATTGATCTTCAGTAATCCATTCTTTTCGTAAGAGGTCAGGATCGCTGACTGCGTTGACAGGTGTAGACGTATCCTAGTTGCGTAGATCAATGCTCATGCTGTTGATCAGTGGATTGTCTGATCCAGTCTTAATTATTTACAGACCGCCGCCATATAGCTGGAATATTGCTAAGGGTGGCGTCGTAAAACAAAACTCACTTCATTACTATCTTAAGTAAGCACGGTGTGGTGGGCTGGTTTGTTTGTTATTTGTTTATACTATTTGGGTGTATTCTAATACCATGATGTCGCTGTATGTACTTTGTCTAACTGTAAAGGATCCAATACAATGAAATTGTTTACATGCTAATAAGTGAACCTTCTTCAAACATTCATACTGCTGAAGTCTCCAAGTACCTTCAAGCCACGTAATATGATTGCGCTTAAAGAGCTTAAACAATATGTTAGTTCACATGGTTCCATCTTTGTGTTGAAAACATACATTATAACAATACAAGTTTTCTGTGCACGCAGTGATAAAACCAGATTCTTCAGTATGAACAATGATCAACAGCACTGACTAACTGGCTATTAAATGACCATATTCCCTTTAATTTAGCGCCAAGGGACCCCCGTTCCTACAGATCACAATTATAATTTGTGCTAGGCTCACTGATAATGTCCATTCCTTTGTGTATGTATTTAGAATATTTAGTTGTCCGTGAAGACTAACAGCAGTATTTGACACTAAAATGGTATCATCTGCAAAAGTTAACATCAAAAGTTCTACTAGGTCTGGAAACAATTGGATATCATGTGTACCATTTTAAGCTCTTTCAATATATACTAGCCACATAAAGAAACTGTGAATTGTCAAAATATTATCCCAGTTGATAAGTACGATAACAATGTCAAAGGTACATATAAACTTTAATGGAGGGATCATGAGACCATAACAAGTCGGGAGAATTTCAATTGACGGCGTAGACGTCGATCCATCTCGTCCCCAACATGCTCTATCGGGGAGAGATCCGGTGAATTTGCAGGCCAAGGCAGTAAGTCAACGTTGTGGTGTTGCAAGAAATCCATAGCAACCCTTGCCGTATGAGGGCGGGCATTGTCCTGTTGGAATGTTAACCCAGGGCCATGACGTTGCAGAAAAGGAATTGCCACAGGTCTAAGAATCTGATCCTTGTAGCCCACACCAGTTAAGTTGCCCTAAACAATCACCAAAAGAGTTCTTTGGCGTGCTGTTATTTCACCCCAAATCATCACGGAACCACCTCCAAAGCGATTCCTCTCCAAGACACAGGCCTGTGCATAACGTTCTTCCACGCGTCTATACGCACGTTACGTCCATCACTATGGGAAATGTTAAACCTGGACTCATCTGTAAAAACAACATTTCTCCACCAAAACAAGGGTCTGCGGACATGATTTCGGCACCACATTCGGCGAGCTTGTCGATTACGTTGTGTCAGGATAGGCCGTATGGCGGGACGTCGTGGTCTGATCCCGTGATGACGTAAATGTTGTCGAACTGTGTTGCGGTGGATATGGCGAAGTCCTGGAATGGTTCGGGCAGTCATCACCGCAGTCTGAAACCTGTGGCGAAGATGGGTCACCCTTATCCATATGTCCTGTCTTGGCGTTGTTACACGTGGAAGTCCAGAACGTGGCCGATCGATGACGTCATTTGTGTTCTGGTAGCGTCACAATGGCCTCATGACGTAGTGCAGACGTGAGCCTTGGCATGCTATGCGTTTCAATAGCCGTTTAATTTTATGAACGATCACAAGGGCAGGGGTTGAGCTTTCCAAAGTGACAGTATTGTGTGGCATTCATTTGCTCTGTTTCTCTTTCCCGGAATGCACGTACAACAACGTATTGCACATCTCAAGGACGAACCCACTGACGTCACGGAACGTGGCACGTGCATGCATGTTGGATACATGTCACTAATCTCTGAGTTTAAATCCTTATGTGTCTACACAGGTTTGATAAATTTAGATTTTAAATTTTTGTATGCACAGTTTCTTTATGTGCCTAGTATATAATTCATTTATGAAAAATGAAAATGAGATAGGACTAAAAGTACAGCCTTGTCTTAAACATAAAGGACAACCATGTTCCATATCTTCATGAGACACAATGTTGCTGCGAGTGGCATGTACTTGGTTCAAATGCACGCCATACTATACACATAAGCAGTTATCCATCTTGTGCAGCATTGGGAGGCGACAGAAAACAATTAAGTATTTACTCTCATCTTGCCAGAAATTCCACTGTTCCTGTTTGAAGTTAAGATATTTTTTCCTTTACAAATGCTAAGCATTATGAATGTGATTGAATATTCTGAATGACGAGAGGTAATAATAACTGATATTTCACATTCATATCTTGTACACACGAGTGAGCTATTTTTACCCTTAAAATGTGTTTTTCTAATAGACCTAACCTTTGACTTACCATCATATGTCAGAATTTGCTCAATCCTCATATGAAATGTTCTACTTCACGATTCAGTTATGGGGAATAAGCTGAAAACGTAGTGGTTATCACTATTATTTAGCTATGGTGGGCAAAAGTGATACCAGCTGCTGAAGGGCTTTCAAAGAGGCCGGTTAGCACCAAATATAGGCATGTTGTGGGCAGAGGTAGTGTCTCTTATAGTTCAACGGGGGACTTCTGGGACTGACGTTGCGTTCATTGGTCAGGTCACGTGACTGTTTATACAGCAGTTTCGGAACAATAGTGCTAACGTTCAATACAGAGATATAACATTTTACACTCAACTACAAGTAGTGATTGCTTCGAAGAGGTCAAGTGTTTGAGAATGCCAGTTCAAGCGCATTGGCTTTGTTTTATCATGATCCCAATCGCAATGTACAAGACTGAGTTTATCAAGGAGATGGCTGGTTTCAGAAAATGTACACCAGAAGATCAATGTGACACTCATGTTGCTGAACTGGAACCATATGGGATACTACAGACCTTGACTAAATCTTTGCAGCTTGCTAGTTGCAGTCATGTCAGATTCAGTTCCAAGACGCTGGTTGCCAGGATCGGCATGGCATCAAATAATGGTTCATCTACTAAACGTAAGACTTCGAAACCCGATGAAGACTGGATTTGCCGAAAAAAAAGCAAGTTTTGTAAGAATATAAAACTGTCTGTTTCAAAGTAAAGCAAACAGTAGAATGTCGCCAATGTTGTTGTCTGAACCCTGGACCTGTATGCTGGCGGTCCCTTTGTCTGACACGCACATATTTGCAGTGCAGAACCTGATCTATCACATGTAAAGTTAAAATAACATTTCTCTTCCCTAATTTCGGTGTAGGTCACACAACTGTTTTGTTGTGAATATCAGATTATTTTATTTCGTATAAAGGAGAACTAATCCAATGGAAATTGTCCTTAACAGATCATTTCAAAAAAACCTTTCCTGTCTTGAAAAACATCACCGATCGAGTAGACAATTTGACATCATCGCATGCTGATGACCTCTCCATATATGTCCTCTCAGCCCACATAGGTGTTTTGATGATAAGTTTATGTTCCCTGTGAAGTATCAGACGTGGTGTCACAGACCTTTTGAGTGTTGGCTTAGCAGCAGAATCGGCCATTGTGTTTCCAAAATGGCTTGGGTAACCATAAAAGAAAATGTCATATTGGCCAGTAGGAATATCACTTTGCAATTCGAAAATTCCGATTAAAAGTGGGACGAGCACTGCAAAGCTTGAGAATGCTGCTTCCAGCTACCTGGCGTCGACTCCCTGCCCAGTTCATTTTTCGTTTTAAGTTCGAGAAATGTCGCAACATGTCACGTTATCTCCTCTCCAACACGCACGCACACATTGCACGACCACTTTCAAACAACTAATGCCTACAACTCATGTGTGACTGGATATGTAAGTTGTGATCTGCAGTGGTTTTCACTCAGTTATGTTCATTTTATCAACATTTAGTGTATTGTATCATATTATTAACATTCAGGTATATTCTAAATTGGAAAGTTGAACCAGCTCTGATGTAGTATTGTCGGATACTTTTGTTCCTTTTGGCTGGACATAACTGAGGAAACATATTTAAACTTCACTGATCACTGTCACGATTTCTGATCATTGCTTCGAGACTTTCACATCATCTTGTAGGACATGTAGAAACAGAGATTATAGAAGTATTTATAATCACTTCATCAATAAAACGATCACATTATAACTTGAAACATAAAGAGTTGCGTTCAGTTGATTTGAGTTATACGTCTCATAGTCATTATTTCAGCAATATAGCCATGAGACCAAATGTGCACACATACACATTTTAAGTACAAAGTTTAAATAAGCTTCTTAAAACACATATTTGACCACTACATTTTTATCCACAACGAAGAACATGTCAAAGTACCGAATTTAAAAAAAACCCAAAACAAGCAATTTGTCTCAAACGTTACAGAGTTACAATTTGGAAGAGGCCATATGGTTACCACCGCAGTGTGTGCACTTCACTTCCTTAGTACAGTCGTTGCCATCATGATTGTCACCACAGCGGTAACAAACAGCAGAGGAACGACAGGACTTGGATCCATGTCCAAACTTTTGGAAGTTGTAGCACCGGAGTGGATTGGGGACATACACCTCCACACCAATGCTACAATAACCAGCTCTAATCGAGTCAGGAATGTTTGCTCGCGCGAACGTGAAGAGATAGGTGTTCGTTGGTTGAACAACACCGTCCTTTTTGAAGTTGAATCGTTTTACCGCTGTGACGGATTGCTGAGACAGTTCCTTGACAATTTGTTCATCAGTCATGTCAGACAGGCATCGAGCTCTGTCCCGTACAATGCCTCTACACGAGTTAAGTGCTTTGTGTGCTGAGACAGCGACCTTGATATTGACAAATTCTTGTATTTTGAGGAGATTTAGTGATTGTTGTTTCCGGGTACATTCTATCAGGAGAGAGCCAGATCGAAGCTTTGTAACATTGGCAACCTCTCCGCAGATACCAGCGATACCTTTGGAGATTGCAAAAGGGTTCAAAACTACTGATAACATTTGTATTTCCTTTATATTATTAAACATTAACACTTTTGAGATGTTTATAGGTCATATACTTCCATTTGAGTGACTTTTAAACCATATAAATAAAAAATATAGATTATCCTTACAACGAGTGCCGGTACCAAACAAACCAGAATGGCGGACGCCGCTGCAGACGCTTATTCTCGAGTTCCAAACTTTGGAGCGAAGTCTTCATCCACAATACGAAAACCATTCTGATATATATATATATATATATATATATATATATATATATATATATATATATATATATATATATATATATCACTATTGCAGGAAAGTCCTATCAGTTTCGCTACAGTGGTTGTCAATAGGAGATGTTCAAAGACGCACAGACATAATTACAGACCTTGATGTATTATATCTGGGGTACCTAGATTTCTAGATGACTCGTTCCCCACATGTTGTTCCCATTTCTGGTGTACCCCGCCGTGATATTACAGGGGCGGTGGGGCTGAGCCTAGATGGTTAAAGCGTTGGCTCGTCACCACCTCAATTGCAGAAGACCCGTGAAGATTCGATTCCCTAACATCGGGTGGTCAGGCTCACTGGGGTTAACTCATGACAATGTGTGAAGCCACATTTGGTCCATATTGACGAGTTTTGACCCAGCTGAGTTGTCGGGCATGGGATCAAGACTTTACTATTTACAGACCAGATGAGGGTGAATGGATGCATATTTACTTTTGGTGGTGCTTATTTTGCCCCTGACTGGTGAAGATCCGGGTTAGAATTTGTCTTCAGCATCCCATGATTCTTGATGTTCGTTGACTTGGTTGACACATGTCATCGTATCTCTTTTGCGTAGATGGATGCTCGTGTTGTTTATCACTGGACTGTCTGGTCCAGACTGGATTATTTACAGTCCGCCTCCATATAACGGGAATATTGCCGAACGCGGCGTTAAACAATAAACAAACCAAGTCATATCTTACGTTTGAAATAATAACAATAATAAATAGTTTGAAATTTACCACAGACGATGAATATTTAAATGATTAAGCTTGCTCTGTTCTTCTGTGTGAGATTCATTACAGTATCCATAAATTCCCTCCAGACCTACAAGAACTAGTACAAAGGAGAGGAAGAATGCGGACACAGCCACAATGTAATATGAAACCATCCGACATGACAGAACAAGGTAATTTCTTTCAATTGAGATTATATGTCTGTCTGAAAATTCCCACCTGCAAACATCTGAGTGAATACGCCTCAGTGGTATGTAACATATACATGATCTTACGTGAAGTTATTGATTTTTCCATCACAATTTTCCATTAAATGTCTACCTATATCTATTAGCATAGTCACGATATAGCTGCAATATTGGTAAACTTGGTAGACAACACCTTTGGCGGAAGCGGTTAAAATCCGCCGACAGAAGCCCTCAATCAACACAGACCAATATATAATCTTTTATTCTTCCACAATGGAGTGTACAGAAAGTAAACACAACAGTTATGCAGTTGTTTCAGGATTTTGACAGGATTTTGACTTTCATGCATATTGAAGCAGATATCAAGGTTTCTTGACAACGGTACAAGAATCTGTATCGAAACGTCGCACTCACGAAAATAAAGAAGTTGTTATCCATAAAACTTGTTATATATTGTACGTCTCAACTTCTAAAATGCCACTCAAACAAGTTTCTTGATCAGTCAAACGCTAAAGTTACAATGAGTCACTGGAACATAGCTTTGTACACTATGGTGATGTATTTTATGCACAGAAAACTCAATCAAGTCCTTTGGTCAGGGGAAAGTCAGTTGTACATTACAACAAGCACGTTGTAAGTTCAGTTGGGTTGATTTAATGAAGTTTCACACTGAATTCAATTGGCCCAACATTGACCAGGCCTATCCACAGTTCGTCCCTCGTTGCACCTGTGTATCCACACACAACTACGGCGTGAGTCAGGAAGTCATTATACATCAACCCACACGATGACACAGTCCTGCTTCACATAGGTCTCTCACTATAGCGCAGGCTTTGATGACAAAGTTAGCTTGCCATCTGAGTGATGCGGCCAGCAATGACACCGTCCATGCAGGATGGACTTCCAGCTGGTGATGTATCCTCTGGCACTTGTGAAGATCAAGGCCATTTGCAAACCGACTGCTCCATTGTGCCATATGATACTCCTGAATGATGTCTTTACTATTCTCCTCCATTTTGAACGCCCTAAGAAGGACCCTGATTGTAGGAAGTTTTCCAGGTGACAATAAGGTAGGTACTTCTTGAGCACCATGACAAGCACATATGCCAACAATTACGAAGAGACGTTGTGTAAGTAGAACATCAGCCGGCATATGTGAGGCAGATATCTATGGTCTATATTCAAGAGATCACCCAGGAAACACAACTTCCGCTGATCTGCAACTGCCTCCAGAGGCAAACTCCAAGGAGCCCAAGACAGCTATCAGTGCGAGTGGTACGAGGCACGTCCTGCATTAATTTTATGACGTGCCTGTAAGATCTCTCCAGCATCAAGATCTCAAATTTAGACAGGTTAGTCCACAGTTCCGACCCACGTTGAGAAGAAACACACGGTTAACAACTGTCAGACTGATGATTAGGTTTGTAAACCGTGGGTGAAACCCACGAGCTGTCACACACCCGACCGCAAGGATATGGCAGCTTTATGCTTGACATGTTGCTTGACATGTTGCTTGTCAAGACTATTCCAACATTGCGGAGATGAAGATTGTTGGTCATACAAGCTGACTTCAACCTGCTTCATCTGTTGACATCTCGGTCGGTTTGGAAAAGTCACAATTTCACTCTTGAATGACGAGAGCACGTAGTTGTTACTGCATCCTCTTCATCTCTCTAAGGTCAGAGAGCCACGATGAAACGAGTGATACATCATCTGACCGAGTGGGAGAACACACACTTAAGTCCATCACGACAGCACCAAGATTGTACTCAGAGAGCAGGGAGTTTATGTACAGCAGGTACAACTTCCCTGACAGCACACCACCTTGTCTGATACCCTGCATCATGGCAACAGGCCTACAACATATTGAGTGAAGGAAAACACGACACATCAATCTCGTGTACGTATCGTCAAGAACAGTCCACGAGGAGCCTTTGATTCCACACTAGAATAACTTGTATTTCAAACCACTTTGCCATACTGTGTCGGAGGCCTTTGATGTATCCAGGAGCACAGCATGGGTATCCTTCTATCACTCGTGGTAATTGCGTATCGTCTCGTGCAAGTTGAAGGATGTGTGAAGGGCAGATAACTGAGATTGATATGTCATTTGTTGTGGGTCAGGAAAGGTATCAGTTTAATGTATTCCGTCCAGTCGAGACAGGAGCACCATCTCAAACACTTTGGACAGTGATATGCCACAGTAAGAGTTCGGGTCTTTCTTTGATTTATTACCACCTTTGTACAGAGGCAGCAGCTCTCGTGCCAAGCTGTCGGGATATGTCCAGATTCAAGAATGATGTTGTAGAGGGTTGCCAAGTGAAACATCAAAGTTCTGTCACCTACTACTTTAGGTGCTCGAAAACGATCATGTCAGCACCACCAGCCTTGTTAGTATTCAGCTTGTCACAGCACTCAGTGATTTCCACCTCTGTGAACTTTATTGGCTGTGAATCAAAGCGTAGATGAGTTTTATTTTAAAAACATATACTTTCATCGCATTCAGGTGTCATAGCACCAAATCCAAAAGCAAGCGATTCGTTATTCACATTACATTGTTACAATTTATGATTCACGTCAACTTCCCCCAGGTAGTTAACAATCATATGCCCGCTCACACGGGAAAACAGATCTTCCAAATTCCTCGCATCACAAAGTGAATCCCTTGCAGTCGAAAAGTCCACACAGTCAAGCAGAACATGCTTGATAGTGAACACTTCATCGCAAGAGACACACATCGGAGGTCCATCCCATCCGTTTTCAGCAGATAGTCATGAGTAAACCGACTAGAGTGGTGGGGTAGCCCAGTAGTTAAAGCGTTCGCTCGTCACGCTGAAAGTCCGGGTTCGATTCCCCACATTATACAATATGTGAGGCCCATTTCCAGTGTCCCCCGCCATGATATTGCTGGAATATTGCTAAAAGCGGCGTAAAAACTCACTTGAATATGTTTTTGAGGTACATAATCAGAGTTAAATATGTAACTGTCGCCCATCATCTAAAGGACAATGTTGCGTCTGGTGATCATACCCTGCCAAGAGCGAGTGAGTGAGTGAGTTTGCCATATCATGACTATCAAAGTTGTATATCATTAAAAGTAATATAAATGGACAATCGCAGATTAAGATGTAAAGCTGGCATGTTAGCATAACACAATAATTTTACACGCAGCAATACAATGTAGAAATGGACACCAACAACTGAAGGTAGATCACCATTCTAAAGATCATGGACACTTTTGCTACCTGCATGTAGTGAGTGAATTCAGAGTTAAATATGTAACTGTCGCCCATCATCTAAAGGACAGTGTTGCGTCTGGTGATCATACCCTGCCAAGAGCGAGTGAGTGAGTGAGTTTGCCATATCATGACTATGAAAGTTGTATATCATTAAAAGTAATATAAATGGACGATCACAGATTAAGATGTAAAACTGGCATGTTAGCATAACACACTAATTTTACACGCAGCAATACAATGTAGAAATGGACACCAACAACTGAAAGTAGATCACCATTCTAAGGATCATGGGCACTTTTGCTACCTGCATGTAGTGAGTGAATTAAGGTTTATATGTTTATAAATTCATGATAAATACACCAATAGGAAAAGCCAACAAGGATATCACAGTATCAATGATTAAAACGTGCATCTATCTATAAAATAGGATTTCAAATACAGTATCACCAAAAACTAGAGGCAGGCTCGCCATACTAAGTACAAAGGGAACTTTTGCTACCAGCATGGACCCTAGTTGGATCTACACCATCTCTTCGTGTTAGCGTTTTGGAGGAAGTTAGCCACGAATTAAATGAACATATATTTTACGATTAAAAGTGAGTGAGTTTAGTTTTTCGGCGATTTTAGCAATATTCCAGCCATATCACGGCCGGGACACCAGAAATGAACATTGTGCCTATGTTGGAATCGAACCCGAGTCTTCGGTGTGACAAGCGAACGCTTTAACAACTAGTCTACCCCACCGCCCCTACGATTAAAACTACGAATTAAGTGTAATTTGGACTTTAGGAAAGTATTTCACACAAACCAGTCCATGCTGAATCCCAACATCTGGGAGAATGGTTGCCGACGATAAAACGTTTGAAAAAAGAAACGTTCAACAAAAACATAACGTTACACTGATGTGTGTAGTGAATCGCTAAAATTCACCCTACATGAAATGCACGTTCATCATGAAATTGTGCTTCAACCTGAGCTGAGGCCTATGACTGTTGGCTTTAAAATGCCACATCAATGTTACTTCACATACATTGCTTTAAGCCACTATAGACGACAAGAGAATGAAAAGACTGTCCGAACTTCAACACAACACCATCGGCCGTTTACAAAGATTGGCATCGCAGCATGATGTGGCAAAGCACTTTAGCGAGTCATTCAGACCATCTCAAACCTACGGACCCGATACAACAATACTGCGAGTATTAATTTCAGACCCAGGTCAGGTCGACCTTGAGTTACCACCGCCGCCGAGGAACGCCACATCCCGTTGAGACATCATCCTTCAAACACCACGGCCGCATCATCCACAACAATCCTAATCCCTGGCCGAATCGCCGACCAGACAGTGCGCAATTGGCTATAGGAAGCCAGACTTTTTGCAAGAAGACCAGTTCAACGTCACGTCGTTTCCTTCATCAACGTCAACGGTCGATCTTTGGAGCATGAGTGAGTGAGTGGGTGAGTTAATATTTAACGTCACATCGGCAATATTGCAGCCATATCGTGACGAAAACAAGCCATACAATAAAAAGTAGAAACATTTTGAAGATTATAACCTGTCGACGATGGACAGTAAAAAGACTAGAACATCACAGTTATAAATATAAAACTAGCGCAAAGTTAAAATATTCCAATTAAAGAAGACAATACAATATAAAATACGGGCTATAGATCGCCAACAACCGAAGGTAGATCACCATACTAAAGCCCATGGGGCGTTGATGCTCAGATTTAGCCATACATTAAAAACACAAAAATACTACGATTAAAAACCTGGTACACTTAAATTGACTTGAAATGTTTTGGGACTTACGTAACCTCTCAGGAGGACAATACTTTTACGCTACTTCAACCCCCTTTGAGGGTACAGCCACTTACAATCGCAGTTACTAATTCAAACTACCAATAATAAAATATATATCTATTTACAAATCACTTAACAAGTCTAATTCCTTTAAAAATGCAATAATTAAATGAGAACTGACATTATTAAAAAGATCCTTCATAGTGTTTACTTTGATATAGTTATCCCTTGTGATGGAATATTCAATGCAGTCAAGCAAGACATGCTTGACCGTGATTCTTTCATCACAAGGGATGCAAAACGGAGGATCTTCGCCTTTCAATAAATATTCATGAGTATATCTAGTATGGCCAATGCGACATCGCCGCATAATGACCTCTTCAAATCTGGACTGACAACCCAAGTAGGTGTAACCAATGTAGGGTTTATTGCATGTAATTTATTAATACCTACTTGGGTGTCCCACTTCTTCTTCATTAGATCACGGATGTAAGTTCTAATGCTAGATTTGTAATCAGAGTATGTGATAAGAAGTGGTGTCACAGACTTGTTGAGTGCTGCCTTAGCAGCAAGATCAGCCATGGTGTTCCCAGAAATGCCAGCGTGGCTGGGCAACCAACAAAAGACGATGTCGCATTAGCCAGTAGCAAGTTCATTGTACAATTCAATAATTTCTAACAAAAGTGGATGGTTGCAAGAAATATTTTTAATAGCCTGAAGACACGAAAGAGAATCGGAAAAGATGATATATTGTTTATATTTATGGTGTTTATTAATATATTTAAGAGCTGTTAGTATTGCGTTTGCTTCTGCTGTGAACTGTCATTGGGTAATCTGGAAGATATTGTTTTCGACCCAATGACAGTGGCACAAGCAACCGCGCCACCATCCTTGGACCCATCTGTAAATAAGGATTTATATGTATTATATTTACATTTTGTTCTTTTTAATTGATTATATTCTTGTTTATATTGTAATTCATTAGTTTCTGCTTTCTTAAACTTAGTCAACCTGTGGTCTAACCAATTGCCAAGGAGGAGAAGAAAGAAGACGGGAAGGAGATATATTTCCAGCTCAATGCCGGCAGCAGTAATGAATGGCTTAATCCTGAGCACAAGAGGCGGAACAAGAGAAGATTTCTTGTTGTACAAAACCTCACAAAGAGGATTAAAGATGCAGTGAAACGCAGGATTAGACTCGTTAGAATATAGTTTGGTAATATACTGTAATGATAATTTTATACGGCGTTGGGTAA